GCAGCATGATGTAGAAGCAACTCTTGATAATCCCCACTGGGACATACCACCAGGGTGTGGTAGTAGATGTCCCCATTTTTTCCTAAATGAGTAGGGATTTATTTCTATGCTTGTGGGATACTGCAAGCTACAAGAAAACTTTTGGATGCTTAAAGAAAAGCTCCATTATTACCATTACTCTGAAACCACAAACTATGCAGATTTTCATGCATTTATGGGTAGGTAAGACCAAAGTCTATAAAATTCTTGACATGATCAAGTCAGTCTGCTTGCTATGTGCAGGGAATTTTGTAAAGGTGACTCACATCAACTTTGCTGAGCATACTTTCTACAGTTGTGATGCTGCACACATAAATATTTATTTCAAAAGCAAGTGTTGCAGTTCCTACACAATGTCGTGGTATGATCTGCCTCTCCTTGAATCTCCTCTGCTGCAGTGGAAGGATTGACACCAGCAAGGGAGATGCCTGATCTCCTTTGGGTCCTCTTCCATAGCAAATTAATGTTCTGAGTTTTACTGCCAAAACCAAACTACTGGAAACTGTCCTTCTTTCTTCTGTACCACTGCAAAAACAAGTAATACAATTACAAAAGGTTGAAAACTGAAAATCATAATTACACTTTCACAAATTACTCATTCCACATCATACTAGATAATGGTAAGATGTTTTAGAACAATAGATGTTTTAGAACTGCACAGCCTTGCAGCAATTATATGATCTGATAATTTACAATCATCTCATAATACTGTCTGTCAAACTGGGGGGCCACAGGAGCCTTTTGCATAAGACTTTAAGCCTTTAATTTTGCAGTGCTCTGGCTCACCTTTCAGCCAAGGAAGTGTGTTTTCTGTAAAAGCTGATTGCTTTTCCACAGACCTGTGTGACCTGAACTTACAGGTTAAAGTTCAGTGTCCACCTGGGTAAATTATCTGCAAGACTGAATTGACAACCGTGCCCCTGACCAGGTCATGCATGCAGAGCTGAGGTTATCTTTTCAGAGCAGGGCTGTGCCACATTGCCAAGACAAAGGCAGAAAACATTTTTAACAAATGTTATACTTAAAAGTATTTAGAATTTCATTATGAACTGGAGAACTTCAGATACCTAAATTTGATAGCATTAAAACTTTTTTACAAAATCTAAAGGCTGCATGCTTCCCACTCCTTTTCCCTCCACAACATCCCAGGGAATTCCTATTTGTGGGTACAGGGAAGAATCTTCCAATGTAGGCTTACATGCAGGACACAGAAAGGATGTCTGGGCCGTACATCACTTGGCATATTTGGTTCATAATTAAAACTTTGTCTGCTGCTGATAGGTATGAAGAATTCCTTTCTTCAGTGCTTCACATATCAGGCTTTTTGGTATTTGAGACATTATATTTTGTGGGATGGAGATGGCATAAAATATATTATTGCTGGCTATCACATCATATCCAAGATTCAGTAGCAAATAACTATTTTTTCTAAAGTAATATTTAAAGAATTATTAAAGTAATATTAAAGAAATTTAAATATTTTCATTTACTAATTTATTTACTGTGTTTACTGACAGTGCAAGCAAAAGTAAAAATCCATTCTGGGAATGCACTGGGGCAAAGGTGTCCTTTCTGTAATGATTTCATATACCAGCTTTTTCAAACAACTTCTTACTGAACAACATCATAAGACATTTTAGCTAAGAGAATGTATTGCTGAATACTTCATCCAGCCACATTTTCTGTGCATGCAATGCACATGTAGAAGTTAAATACTCTCGGGCTGTCCTCTTCATAAGGCTTCAAAGAACACAAAATAATCATAGAAATGGCTTGTTACAGACCCTACAATACACACAGCAGTGTGCCAATACACCAAGCTGGAAAAACTGATCCTATTCCAAGGCAAGTACATTATATAAAAAAATATTAGGTAGGTTAGTACTACTTTCAGACTTGCAATGATAATGATAGTAATACTGACAATAATAATTTTTAAACACCTACTTTGGATTAACTTGGCCATCTGTTACATAACAGTTGTGGTACTCCCCCAGCAATTTCAGCAGCTCAGTTATGACTGTACACACATCTTTCATAACCTTGTTGGTGATTCTAATCTACCTCAACAACTGCTGTTCTAATAAATATTTCTTGCAAATGAAAAAAATCATTGTAGTAATTATGCCATAATAATTTTCTAAATTACTATAAACCCACCAAAATAAGCCAAAGCTTCTGGTTTTTTCTGTGATCATAATCAAGGATATGAAGCTCCCTGGAAAGTAAAAAAGCAGAACCTACTTATTAAAACAACGTTACAAGAACACCATCATTAACTTTTGCTAGCTATTGGAACACTGCTTGCTCAGGTTCTGTGATTAGCCAAATTAAATTGGTGTTTGGCACTAACATGATGCTTCTTGTGTTGAAATAGCACATGGAAAGTGGCAACACTACTACTGTGTATTGTCCAGCAGTAAACCACCATGATATTACAGTGATTATTATTTATATTCCAGAGTCCTGCAAGCCCCAGTCATAAAACTACTGTATCAGAACAAAATGACTGTTCTTGTCACAGTTTGCAAAGGGCATGCAGGGAGGTGATGGATGCAGACTGGAAGGCAGAATGAACACTGGAACAGTTTTCATTTACACAATAGATATGACTCCTTGCACACCAGTAGTGTGTAAAATACTAAACTTCTGTATACATCAACACCAGGGGGCTTTAATGAGGGATGCAGAAGACACCAAGGAGGGAATTTTTCAGAATTTTATGCAACATCTCTTCAGAAACAACCGGCAATTGGAAACAGAGACTTAAAATGCTTATTTAGAAGTCTGAAAATGAAGGGTGCAGAGGCTGACCTGGTGGGACAATGAGACCAAGAGATAACTTACATAACATCTTGATTTGAGTAAGAGGGATGGTGTAACAGCAGGCTTTGGCAGTCATGAGCAAGTGAAGAGAGAAGCTTTACAGCTAATGCAACAGAGATGCCAGAGCCAAGGCAATAACACAAAACAAGAAGCAACAAGTCAAAACAAAAGACTAATAAACAATCCATTCTGCAACTTTCTCAGTGGCTGTGAAATCAAAGTTGTTTAGCTGTCAAGGACAAAAAAGGGCACCATTAATTCAGATCAGTATGATCAGGCTGGATTAGACTGTAAACCGAATGACCAGGTAGGAAAACCAGGGAGAGATGTGCTGTAAAAGAATGGAGATTGAGACAGAGCTGGCATAGGAAGTTTTAGAAACATGCAAGTTAAAGCTGTTTACTAAGCACAATCATATCAACAAAAGGACAACAGAAGCAGAAACCCTGAAGGTTACAGAGTTGGGAATATTCAGTTGCAGTGAGGCTGTCTTGAGGTGTCAGAGTGCAGACTGAGCTTTTTGTCAAAAGTCCACTCCTATTCTCACCCTTGTGTAAAAGGTACATCAAAAAACAAAGCCTCTTTCTTAATGCAATGGGATGTGCAAGTAAATCTCAACCGTTCTTACCCATACAACTGTTATGGAAAAGACAAGTAGAATTTTTGGAAGAAGTTATCCATCCATCCATCCATCCATCCATCCATCCATCCATCCATCCATCCATCCATCCATCCATCCATCGTCAGATGGAACAGAAACATGCAGACTAGCAAAGCACACAAAACCTCACTGTGAAAACCCACCAATAATGCTCTAGATCATACTTCCCATGTTAACACCTGAAATACTTGAAATGCTCCAAGATCCAGCAGAAGGAGAAAGCAGGAAAGCCTATATTTCCAGAACAGAGTAAACCAGCTTTCTTTTTCAGAAGATGCATCTACAGGATTGTCATGTAAGTAATAATGAATCTCAAGGAGTGCCATCAGTGTGGCATACCCGTACACTTACGAGCAGAGAGCAAAACCTAAGAGAACACTCCATCCATCCTGCTTTCCATAAGGCTTCATTCTATTTTGAGAGACACATACCTGTGAAGATCCTCGTGGGCATTTTAAAAACTGCAATTTCAACTCTGAGGTTTTGCAAGCTTTGTTTTCTGTGGTGCATGATATCATAAACATCCTGAATATAATTACAACTGCAATTTTGTGGGCTGTATTTTCCCTACTGGTAGCCCAAAGTTGACGTTTACAAAAACTTTTCTGCACACTTATTTGATTTGAACTTTTTATTATTATTACAAATGTATATTATTTTATTAAAAAAATTCACACTGAAGCAAAGTCAATTCCATTTCATTACAACCAAGAATATAAAATAAATGCAATGAACTCATAGCTTGAAATGAACACAGTCATTTCAAGAGTGACATCAGGACAACTTAAAAGCAGTAAACTCTCAACTCTAGAATGAGAAACAAGTATTTTGCTTCGTGGTTTTGGTAGCCCATTGGCACGGGCACTACTGAATGCGGCCACCACAGATCTAGAGCGGGAAAGTTTTGTGGTAGCACCAGGCGCATACACAGTAATTTCTAATGGAAACTACAAAAATGAAAGATGCGTGCATGAAATTATTAGGAAAAAAAATAACTGAGTAGAGACAGGCACACTTCCACAAATAGTAAACATGGGAATATACAACTAGAACAATTTGAAAAGTTACTACCTTACATATATAAAAAGTTCTTTAAATTGCTGTTAAAAAGGACACGTTCTGTCCAGATTTTGTGTAATACTTTTTAGTGTCTACACAAGACAAATTTTTAAAAAAATTAAATAGCATTAATTTACTAGTAAATATTTAGGAGATAACAGTGCATTAAGGACTTTTTTTCATATCGTAATACACATCGCTCCTGTCTGGCGACATTTTTAGAAGATTACGTATGGCCTTATGTACAATACATTTATTTAATCCTAAAACAATTCTTTACTTAATGGTGTTAAAGTACCATTCCTGAAGATTATGAAGGGGAACTAAGCTTATTATGTTTATATAAAATATCATACATATTTGAACACTTCTAGCTTCCCGCCACCCCTCCCACTACGAATGCGCTTCCCTCCCCCTCCCCAGATACAGTGTCACAGATACAGTGCAGGAGTCGCAGCTTTCCCTATATTTTTCCTTCATTGTGCAGTTTGTGCTACATAAACTTCACCAACGAGGACCAGGCTGCTCATCCCATTAATTCCCCATGGGTTTGTTTCCTCTGAGCCACGACGTGAAAAGCTGTGCTCAGCAGCCTGTTCTCCCACCAGGATGGAGAAGACAGCTCTGTGCCTCTCAGTACAGGTGTGAAACACTTTGCTGAGGGTCTATAGGTTATGGGCAGAGACAGAGCTGAGTAATAAAGAAACTGCACAGGCAAAAAAAACCACCATAAAAATTACATGGTCCTGGTTTCCCATGACAAACTGCACAATTCACTTCTGAAAGCGGAGAGTTTTTACCTCACGGGATAACCCCTAGGCAGCAAGGCTTCTTCCACTATGACTGCTACCAACCCTGGCAGCATGCATCAAGCTCCCAAGAAAAGGCAAATTATTTCACCCCAGTGAAGAAACTACAAGAGTGTGCAGAGCCTACAATTTGTAGCCAGGGCTGTTGCTTTTATTCCCTCTCCTCTTGGCTGTGAATTTTGGAGGAAGACAGCTTGGCTTCACCTGTGCGCATAAAAGCTAGAGAGAGGAGTGGCATGTGGTCATCTACCAACCCAACCAAGACAAGAAATGCAAGTGCAGCTGAGAGAGGTTGTGGCAGTCACTCTAGAAGCTGGAAGTTCGCTCAATTAAAGCACCTTACATTGCTGTGAAGTTTCACACTCTACATACAGATTAATCTACACCATGATTTTGCCTTATTGGCACAAGAGCCCACCTTAATTAACCAATGGTCCCCTGCCACCTCCTGATCTCGTATGAATTTTGATGACCAGCTGCAAGTCACAGCAAAGAAAAGAAATGTTAGATAACCGTAGTAGAAAAGACAAAATAATTTTGAGAGAACAGAAGGATTAAAAGAACACAAGGTGACAAAAATCACTCTGCCGTAAGTTAATTTCCAGAAATGTGACATTCAAATTACAGAAGTATAAAAGAAGTGTTACTTAATAGCATTGGCCAAACACCCATTTGATCAAAAGTACCTCATCCTAACATCAGTAAGGGGGGAAACAGAAAGAATGTCACCCCATAGTCACTGAAATGAAGGAACAATTAAAACCTGTCCTTTCAGAGTACTACAGTATGTATAAAATGTAGCATTTCAAGGGTTATACATTGAAAGTATTCTTTGGGAGATTATTTTCCCCAGAAAGAATTTTTCCCTTCAATTGCTTCATTTAGTTTTTTACCACCTTCTTATCCATTTGATGACAAAAGCAGGTTTTAGCTTTTCTGGAGCAGCTTGGTGTTGTCAAAACCACGTGATGGTAGGAATGGCCAAAGCAAGCCAACTGCTCACACAAAGCAGAAAAACAGCATGAGTTTGAGGAGGAAGGGGACATTAAAGATGACTGGAAAATCAAACCAGTAGAACCATATAATATGTGATGAAAAGCATTCTCCTCAGAGCAAACAGACCTACTCATCTTGCTGCATCTGGTCACAACTTCAGTGTGAATGTGCACGGGTACACCATTTGTTTTGTGTGGCACAGGACAAAGAGAACACCCTGCAGTACAAAAACCTGTTACCACTGACCACCTACACCTGAACTCCTGTCACCTCTTCTCTGGACACCAGCTGCAGCAGCTCTCTGATGTAACACTGCCAGTAGCTCTCTAAATGCATTCCTTCAGGTTTTCTGCCACAAGAGCCAGCCTTATTTCTGAAGGCTGAAGCAAAAACGATGCTGTCCCAAATTACGTGTTGTGTCTCTCTGAATAACTGTGGTTCCAGAAGTTGGACAATAATGCTCTGATTATGCTTCTGAACTCTTGCTTAATTACTAGGGATTTTCTGCAAGCTACCCATCCACTTACAATCCCTTAGGCACAATCAAAACATGTTTGCTCTAGGGAAAAAGAAACATTTCAGTGCAATCAAGCGCATCTGGTGTAACTAATCTGGTTAATCACAGCAATGTGAGGGACACAGAATATGCATTATAAACAAGAAAAAGGAACCATTTTCAACATGCTTTTCAAACTGCACAATAATTTCTCTTAATTATAAATTCTAACATAAAATGATTAAATGCATTTGTTTTTGCAAGTCTTAGTATTTCTGTCACCTTTAAATTTTGAGAACTGACTCAGGAATGTGAAAGAAAGCTAAATTTATAGAACTCTCACACACATTAATAAGCTACTTTGCAGAAATACAGAAAAAGCCCGTCATCCACATTCCTACTGAGGCTTGAGGGCAGTAAATACATTTTCCTGACTATTTTGGTGTCCAGCCTGGGAAGACATTCCTTTCTTCTGTTCCAACAGATCCTGAAAGCATCTCCTTTTCATGTGACTGTCCTGGTTTCATTTAAAGTAATGCTTAATTTAAAACTAGTCAGAGCATGATCACTGTGATTTCAAGAATTCAATGTGAATGAGTTAAGAAATATCAGCCATCTTCTGTTTGGCATTCAGTCCAGTAGCATGAAGCATATCTGTTGCTGCAGAGACTTGGGTGGGTTTTTTTTCTTTTTTCATTTTTCTTTTTTCATTTTATTAATTTTTAAAATTTTTTATTTTTAATACTTTGCCTGAAAACTAGACTAATAAAAACAGAATAGTAAAATACTCTGGAACAGTAAAATTTTGCTGTTCTTGACATCCATGAGCAAAACAGTAATATCCTGTGAAAATAACATAGTGCTTTAAAAAGGTGCAATATACCTGTATAGCTAAACTGGTTCGCCTAGTATAAAACTAACTATATACAAGCTTGAAAGCCTGGGAGTTCAAGATTTTAAAACTTTAAAATCCCATCAAAGAGATTGAAAAGACAGATTTATGGCAATCACTACAGCATAAGGAAGGTGCACCAGGAATCCTTCAAAATTCCAAAAGGTTAAAGAAGTTAAGTGCTGGGTTCAGATCAGAAGGGTTCATTAGAGTAACCACAATGGAGCACATGCAAGGGCAGGAAGGAAGGAAAACTTCACAAGAATCTCCTTTATGGCAATAAAGGGATGGGGATAGGGCAGGGATGGGGGAAGTCTTCAGTGAGTGAAGTTTTCCTTTTATCATCATGAATTTTAATTCTGCATCATAGTTTGTATTTTTGGTCTTCTCATCGTTATGAACTTCATATTGCTGGAGTCTTCTGGCTTCTAGTCCATTCCTTTCTGAGTGCAGCCTGGCAGGCCCCTCAGTACCTATGAGACTGATGAGATTGGTGATACTGAGAGCTCTGCTGAGACGATGTGGAATAGCCCATTGTACTCTGGGACTGAGAAGATCCCTGAATGTTGCTTTGGTAACTCAGGCGCGAGCTGGAGTGCTGCAGGAAAAAAGAGAGGGATCAAAGGAATGATCATCACAGGTCCAGCCTGCTAGGACCATGCAGCTCAGGAAATTTTTAACCTCTGGTTAAAACATGATTGTTGGGGAAACTGACTAAATAGCGCTACTTTTTAGGGTCCCATAAAACAAATCGTCATTCTGATCTGCAATCAGCTTTAACACAGCACACAAAATACACAAGAACCCTTGAAGGCACCTAAAAGTACAGCATGTACACACCCATTTTCTGAAGAAAAAATACACAACAGACAAAGAGAGCAGACTCCCTTTCAAAATTCATCTGTTTCTTAAACTTTTATCTATCATTATTCTAAATGCTATTAATGCAAATGCTATTAATGCTAAGGCTACAAACACCCTTCTCAAGATAGGCAATATTAAACGTTGTAAACATTTTATTCTTTTCTGAGAAAAAGACAACCATGACTACTACTCAATTTATCTAAATGAAAAATTGTCCATTAAGATTAAATAATATAATATTAAGTGAGTCTTTTAACCTGATACCTTAACTACTGCAAACAAGGACAACTGCTTAAAAATGGGTATGGGTATGTACATAACCTAACATTCATTTTCCTGAATATTTTTTTTTTCCCCCCTCCACAGTTTGGGACTGTCAGTTTAGTGGACTCCAACCTCAGCAAGACAAATTTGTGGATCTTGCAGCCTCCAGCCTGCTGAATTTGCCCTTTCATTATCATAACCATTTCCCATCCAGAATTAATTGTGAGCTGCCCAATAATGCAAGATGCAAAATCACTTGGGATGAGAAGTACTGCTCAATGGACAGGAGACTGTCCAGCAAGGTAAACCCCACCACAATCCCATGATAAGGCTGGTTGTGTTACACAGTGTCTGAAACCTGAAAATTTTCTCAAAATTCTAGGAAGTTTTTCAATTTCTAATGGAAAAGAAAAAGAATTGTGATAAATTCTATGATTTTATAGGTGCTCTTTCTGGATGAAAAGCACCAGCTCACCATAGTAAGCAAAATACTCAAGGTCACATAAGGAAGACTCAGCAAAACTCAACAAAGAGCTTTGCACTGTCATTTGTGGAAGCAACAGATACTGAGGTTGGTGAATGACAAAAAAAACTTCAACAGAGACTTCAGACCACAAGCTAAATGAAACTCAAAGCAAAGAGAATCTTCCAAATAAGATAAAATGGAGTAAAATTACTGCCTTAAGACTAGAAGAATGCTTTAACTTGCCCATGCTTATTTTTGTTTCACATAGGAGAATTTGTTTTTAATAAAGTCAGACTTGGACAAATTGCAGACATTCCTTTCTGGAACAGAAGATAGTCAGCTAGAAGTTAAAGGCAGATAGCCAAACACAAGTGCAAAAATGGATAATCAGCCCATACAATTTAGTGCATGACGTAAAAGAAACATACAGATCATGATTTTGATGCCTGTGCTGTTAAAGTTTAGAAGGAAAGCGTCACAGAGGGCAAAAAAAATCTGGAAAAAAGAATATTTAGACTACCAGCAACTTGCAAGGGGGAAGTTTGCCAACAATTCAGAGAACTGGATAAGAATTCTATGATGGATATCATCAAATGCAGCACACCAGTCCTCAAAGTATAGACCAAACCAGACCAGCCATAAATACTGTGCAGTCAGACAGATGTACTGATCCGTCCAGGCCTCAAGGCTGTCTGGAACTTTTCAAAAAAGAAACCTAGTTGTCTTCCTCCTTAAATTGCCCTCAATGCCTTCATGACAATTTGTAACTAAAGGAGTTAAACAAAAATGGGAGAAATATGTCTGGCACTGAGTAATGAATTGTCTGTGGAGAAGGTCTGGAGGGCTAAGTCAAGACAACTGTAGAGCTGGTGTCTTAAACCCTATTTATTTTAACTTAAAAGCAGCCTGAAAAGACCATTCTCCAAAGCAGGACCCTCTTGGAGGCTAGGAGCCAACAGAATCCCTAGCATAATTTAAAATTTACTCTTAATATCTAACCTTTTTTTTCTTTCAACTAATTACTGCTCCAGCGAGTATAAACTCTGAAATACTGAAGATCCTGGAAAGTTCAATGCTTTCTACATTTAATGTAAGTAACTTTTTCAGTGGAAAATATAATTCTAGTAATCAAAGACAGGTATGCTAATTCAAAAAATATTCAGTGATAGTTCTTTTCCTAATTAATGCTATTGTACCAGAAAACATGAAATCTGTTCTACTTTGGTCACATCAGAAACAGTGCATGTCTTTGTGCCCCAGTCTGGCATGAATCAAATGGATGAACTGAACCAAATTGTCATTCCTGTTCTTACATGCATTTTTTTTTTCTTTAACATTAGAAGTAGTCTTAGAAAGATACCAGAATAAACTACAGAACCACTTCATACATGTGACAATAGGAGGAATGAAATGGGAGAGCCTGGTTCAAACTTTGTTCCTTCTTCTCAGGATTGTCTCACATCTGTGCCTCACATGGGATTTAATATTGCCAAGACTCAAGTATACTGAACTTGATGCAGTGCAGCATTTACAACCACTGGCTTCAGCAAGATTACTCTAAAATATAAAGTTAAGCAAATATTTAAGTGATTCCTGGAGTGGACTAGTCCTCAACACTTTACAGGGTGCAGTACAACTCAAACTGGTATTCTATTGAAAATTACTAATCACAGAACAAAACCTCAGCATGCCTCAGGTTACATCAAAAATTCATTAAAACACGATCTGTTCTTGCAGCTGGGAAAGGGGAAAAATGACATTTTGGCCCTCAGCCCTATAGCATCAGAAGCAGCAAAATTTCCAGAGGTACCTGATAATCTGAAGGCATGACAGGCCCGCCTGAGTTAGCGCCTGAAGGCCCTATGCGTGGTTTCTTGTTGGGAGGCACCTGGCTGAGGCCGGAGTCCTGGCTGTGCTGGAGCCCCGCGCCCGCGCCCCCCGCGGCCGCGCCGGTGCCCGCCGCCGTCCCGTTGGTCTGGCTGCTGCTCTGCTGCTGCGGCTGCGGCTGCTGCGGCGCCGCCTGCGCCTGCTGCTGAGGTGCTGCTTGCTGCTGATGCTGATTCTGCTGCTGCTGATTCTGAGGGAAGAAGCCACACAACACGGTCACTTGCTGTGAGCTGGGTTTGTGAGCTTCATGGAGCTGCCAACCCCCTGTCACCGAGGGGGAGGCAGGCCCTTGTGTGATGGAACACACAGCAAGGCTGAGTGCTGGGAGAAGTTCACCCCCAGTACAGACCTGCACACCTGGGGGGTATCCACCTGTGATCATTTTGCTTTTTTTAATGAAACAAGCTGGACTTAAACTGGAAAGACAGTCGAGTGCCTCCTACAGCTACCCAGGTGTCCTGGGTTGCAAGATGTGGGTGGGGTTGTATATTCTGTTATCATCTGCTAGAGGTGGGGCAGTTATCTTCTGTTAATTGTGCAGTTTTTCTTTATCTCTTTCACAACCAATCCCCTCTCTGGGGAGATATCTTCTGTTAATGGGCCATTGAGCCTCACTGATAAAATTACATCATCCCATTGTGAGATGCTCCACCCAGCGGGAGGAGCCAAGCATTCCTACCTGGATATAATCTGGGATTTGGAATACCACAGGCAACCTTTTCCACTGGATTCCAAGAGAAGCAGCTTTTTTCTCCACTGGATTCCCAGAGGAAGATCAGGCCCATCTACACTACCACTGAATATTCAGAAGAAAACTACACCCTTTTACAGGATCACTGTTTCAGCAGAACCACACCTGTCACTGCAGGAGGACTGCAGCCACCATTTAGACTGCTACCAACACCCTGACCCACAGTGCGTCAGGTCATATTCTAATTCTGTCACTGTTGGGCTTTTTTTGCTTGTCCTATTGCATTCGTATTTTTAATTTTCCTAGTAAAGAACTGTTACTCCTATTCCCATATCTCTGCCCGAGAGCCTCTTAATTTCAAAAATTATAATAATTCGGAGGGAGGGGGTTTACATTTTCCATTTCAAGGAAGGCTCCTGCCTCCCTTAATGGACACCTGTCTTTTTCAAACCAAGACACCAAGTGTTCAGAGAGGATAAAAGGAACCCTTTATAAAGTAGTAATCACCCAATGAAGTAAATCAAAGCACCCACAATTTCAGTAGTGCTCAATGGCAGACATGGGGAACCCACAGTAAATTGTTCTAAGTGGTTCAATGGCCTTGTTCACACAGAATCAAAACCACATTTCAAACTTTCACTTTTCACCTGAAGAAGGCTGACAGCATTACTGCAAGAAAGGTAAGCACATTGAGACCAAAGGAATTTTATCATGTCTTCCTAGTTGCGAGGAAATTCTGGCAAAACCAGAAACAGGTTTCATTACTATTTTGGTTTCCCATGCTTTTAAGCACCTTGTAAAGAGTGCTGTACAGGGAATAGGGCCCAGCACAGTGCACAATGTACAGGGTCAGAAAATCTTACTGAAATAACAGAAAAGTGAAAATAAACCAGAAATGTTGAAGACAAAAGAGGAGGAAACTGCTGAAAGAAGAATCTGGCAAGGGAAGGAGGAGACTAGCAAAGGAAGAGAAGCCAGATAATTAAGACTACATTGGTTCCTAGAAGGAAAATAAACAGAGAAAAGTGTCACAGAAGGGAAAAAAAAGGTTAAGAAGAAGAACACAAGAACAAAAGATATTGAGAGCTATTCTGGCTTCAGACTAAAAGGAGTATTTGAGGAAGTGGAGGGAAGGTCAGAAAATGAACTGAGTGCAACTCTGTCCTCCATGGTTGCAGCTCTGGGAAAGATATCACTTGCTCATCATGAAAAAAACCCTTCAACTGATATGGATTGAATTAAAAAGCCTTACTATCTTTCCCCTAACATACTGTAAGGAACATTCCAGGATAGGTTTGGGGGTTTTTTTGTAGAATATCTGCTTATATAATGATCAAAACTTTAGTGTGGCAGCCTTTTAATTAAAACCTTACTTTATTAGTTTCTCAGAAATTATGACAACCAGTTGCCACTAGCAGAAAATTCTTGATGTCCCCTTCACCTTGAGGCTTTTAGTTACCTCAGATAAATGACATAAAAGATCTGCATCTATGCCATTCATCATAATAGTCTCCCAAGAGACATTCCAACAAAATTTGCAGTGATGTGTTCATTTAAGACTACAAAGAAGACTTGCATCTTGAAGGAGTTAAGAGATGGCCTGCAATTCCATTTCACATTTAGCAAAACCCATAATGTATCCTCCTGCACGTAGTCCTCAAATCCCATCTCAGTCAAATTCTACTTCCTGGGAGATTTAGACCTCAGTAATCTAAAAAGTTAATCAAACTAGCTTGTAAAAAAAAATTATCAAGAAGCAATTTATTTTTAATAATGGTTTGAGCTTCACTTACACAAACAAAACACCAAGAACTAAGGTACATTTGTGTTACAATTCTGAAATTTGTGTTTTCATAGGAGTGTTTGGGTGCAAGTAAGGTAGTTACTATTGTGTGTGGCATTCACATTTTCTGAACAGAGAGGGACAATTTTCTCTCTCAGGGTTTTTTCCTGGAGAAGCAGAGAGACAAGAAGATAAAAAATATTCTTATCTCTACTTGCTGCTCCTGTTGTTTTGCACATGTGGAATGTGTTGGGAAAATTGTTTACCTGAAGTGATTTGTCAATTGGATTCTGCTGAGGATTGTTTTGTTTCCTTGGCCAATTGGCTCAAAGCTGCATCCTGGCTGTCATGAGAAAGTCATGAGTTTTCTTTAGCATTCTTTGTAGTATAGTTACAGTGTAGTATAATGTAATATAATATAGTTTAATAAAGCAATTGTTCAGCCTTCTGAATCAATGGAGTAGATGCTAATAATTCCCTCAGTTGGGGGCCCCCTGTTTTTTCATAATTGTGTGAGCTGAAAAACTTTAATTTTTTAATGTGTAAACAAATACTGAAGGGACTCTCACAATTAAAGGCAAGAACTTGTTGTAGGTCCCAGGTTTTGTGCTTCAGATTTTAGCACAAAATTTAGTTGACTAGCTGAAGTTTGCTCTTGTGTGGAACTACTATTGCTATTGCCTGGCTAGAGACTGCCCTGTCAGTCTCCAGCTGGGGCCTGGCTGCACTACCTAACTGCACAAAAATGGCATTTTTGAGAAGCAACAACCTTGTCCTCAGGCCAGTCTGGTTCATGGCAGTTCCTAAATGACTAAACTCAGGAAAGGTCCACACTTAGCAACCCACTGCCATATATCACCACTCAGGCACAAATTACCAAAATGAAATTTCAGTCCTACCTAGAAATAAACCTAGCAGAAACTTGCCTACCAGAATTTAAATGATAAAATTACATTTTCACTTTGTTTAACAAACACTTATTTTAGTCTTGCTAACTAACAATTAACCATTTTGAAGAATGGATGCTTATGCTAAATGTTATTTAATTCAGATATAAGTTCCAAATAAACAGAGACAACTTCTCCAGGTTTCCAAATGATTGTACAGATATTTTTGGTTTTAAAAACAAACCAGTAACAAACCAGTCTAAAAAAATAAAACCTTTCATTTACAATAACATCATTAAGCAACAAAACATGGAACAGATTCAACTTTCAGAATAGCCTTTACCTCCACATTTTCTACACTGAGTAATCTACATTTTCTACATTCAATGAGTAATGTGGGACTTGTATTACCTAAATGGTCTAAGAAAAAGTTTAATTTGGAGTGCGTATAAATACCTGACTGTCCTCAACAATCTCAAAGATCATTTATATATTGGCTGTTTTAAATATAAACAGGCCATTGTCATCACCCCTGCAACATTCCCAGGGAAAGGACAGATATTTCCTTTCAAGTACACTGACTTAAATATAAAAAAAGCCAGAGTAATTTTAATTCATAAGGTTTCTTTTTGTTTTTTGAGGCTGTGAGAGTTGAAGCAAAACTAGTAACTAAATTACAATCAAATTGGTATCATGAATTTAATTTTATTTTTGCTCAGGGGTCTGTTTCTTCCTCTGGAAAAATCCATCTGGACACAAAAATCATGGATAACTAACACTTGTTCCCAGTAAAGAAGAATCTGCAATATCAGTTCTGAAAACAAAATTTGCTCTCTAAAATATAGGTTTAAACTCACCTAGTTTGTCAGAAAATTTTGCAGAAAATTGAAAACAGAATATTCATGTCCTCAAATGGTTTCTCTGAAAGACAACAGCCTTTCTCACATAATGCTCAGATAACTACAGTTCAAGACTGTTCTCTTCACATTTGGTTAGCTATACATCACTGTTGGTGCCTCACTGTACCCTGTTCCATGAAAATAACACGCTGTTTCCTACACTGTGGCACCATTGTCCAGCCTTCACAGCACCATGGGACAATGGCTGCGGTCACACAGCACAGCTGAGCTACACGCACCAAGCAGAGCAGATTATGTTGCAAACACCCCAGAATTTATTATGCACACAAACAAGTTCTCACTCATGTCTATGGGGCTATGAAAAAGAGAATACTCGGAGCAGATTGTTGCTACCAGAACAGTTCAGAATCCTTATTACTCCTTTGTCTGAGGGCCCTTACAACACGATCAGGAAACTGCATGCAGATGGATGAAATGTTCTGATGTAGTGCCAGAAGCAGGCTGCCACTATTTATTTGAGACCCCGACAGCCATCTACATTCAAATGGCTGGATGGATGCCAGTCATACAATGAAAATGCCATTCTTTTCGTGTGCTCACAACGTATTTTCTTCATGTGATGCTGCAGGAGGTAGCAAGGTCTTCTTGGAACACAGCAGCTGAGAGCAGGCTGCAGCTGACCAACAGCCCACCCAGCTCATTCCCCACAGGTCAGGGCAAACTGTGCTGGTGATACTACCTGAGACACCCCAAGGCATCTGATACTCTTCAACTGTCTGAGAAGCAGTTTTAACAGAGCTTTGCCTTGGAAACACATTTTTGTTAATTCTTCATGTTTCATTTTTGGTTAACTCTTCATGTTTCATTAGTTTTCATTTGGAACCATGATGCTTTCTTATTGCATACTTGAAAGTAAAAAAGCCCCAACCAAACAAGAAGTTTACCATACCTTATCCCCTTTCTCTTCAGGTTCATCTTCATTGAGGAATTCTCTTTTCGGATATGGAATCTGACAGCCAGCAAACACACTGAAACACAGTAAACAGTCCACAAATATGTACACATGGCATACATTTACTTAATACTGTGTTAAAAACAAGTGTGTATAACACAACTACATTTCTTGTATTTGACAAATCCTGTTTCCACAAGTGAGTGGCAGTGTGAATACCCAAGATAGGTGCTGATTGTAATGTAAGATCTCTTTGCTGTTGGCACAGGGCTGTCATTTAGAAATCATGGCATGGTTGAACATGCCCAAATGCCAGAACGACCACTTGTTGATCCAGATGGTAAAATGAACAAACACAGTGTCAGAGGTTCCACAACACCCAGTTGGAACATGCATGGCTCACTGAATAAAGGGACTGATCCAAAGAGTATTAATGTCTTATGAGCCTGCCTTGGCTTACAACAGGCTTCAATCTATTTGCCAATCACAACTGCAGAGTTACTTTCCCTAAGCTTCTCAGGTCTTGTTTGGGAAAAAAAGATCACTTTAAAATTTATCTGACCAATGGAATTTGGAACATTCCTTAATGTTTATGGCAGAAACCTTACCATAATGTTATCCTGTAACCCAAGGGGAGCTACAGTTCTCCACAGGATAGCATCAGATAAACATTAAGCAGAAAATTACTGGTAGATCTTGACCAGTATCAATTTCTCACATTTCTGTGCCAACATTCAGAATGCAATTAACATGATGTGGTTTTTAAAAGGGTGTAAACAGTTCTTAATCTTGTTGCTATGTAGTGTAGAAAAATTAATTTTAAAACCCCAACTAGTATCAACTAGACTCCTTTTTGTTCCAGTGACTGTTCCTTCCTTTTGGTGTTGCCTGCTAGTTGGGGAAACAGTGAAAGCAAAGGTAGAAGTCTACCTGCATCAAGTTCATACAGATCATAATGCCATGCACCACCATGCTTCTGAAAACTGGGAAGAGAAACTGACAAAGTCCGCCAGCTGGAACTGAGTATGTGATCTGAACTTTTCATGACAACAAAATATTCTCTCAAGCCTTCTGAACAAGGGATTTGTGGGATTTTAGGCAGTCATTTATCTCTTCACTTTTCTCATACTGTTACCCTGTGAAAAGAGAGCATGGGAATGGACTGTAGGTCAGAGAACTGCCCCACTCCTAGGGAAAGGCACAGTCAACCAGGCAATGGAGACCAGTGCTCTGTGAGGCTGTGTGAGGCAGAGATTGATTCACTCAATGCTGCAGTAACGTTGTAACTCTGCCTTTGGTAGTGTGCTCAGAATTACAACACTACTGTGGTACTGGGTTATTTTTCATGACCACTCAGTTCTGACACCAGTACATACAGACACTTGTAGTTTTTACTGAGCATGGCTGAGCTGCTACTTCTTGTATACATAGGTAGGTATCTGTGAATTTTTCAGCTGTCATATCATTCCAGGGACTAGCATATAGCAGAAAGAAATCACCCCAGATGTTCACAGAAGAGGGAATACATACTCTGATGTAGGCAGAGGATCCTCTTGAAAGTAGGGGTCCTGCAAAGCCTGCTCTGAGGTAATTCTCTTTGTAGGGTCCATAGTAAGAAGCTTCTGAAGCTGCAAAGCATAACAATAAAAATAGCAAAAAGCTTATCAAACTATCATTTTTCAAACTATGACTTATATGTCTTGGATTGTGGATTGCTAAACTATTTCTGGCTTGTCCAGACAAGCCTAAGTTAGCATTGCTTGCTGAGTGAAGTTCCCGAGAACTACAATGCACATCCATGAAAGTACTGTGGTTGTGAAGTACTTCTCACGTATTAAACAGTTAAGTGTATCAGGCAGTATTAATTGCTCAGGCTGAACCCCTGCACTAAAGCAATGCTAAATTCAGCTATTACAAGTTCATAAAACATTATTTCTAAATAATAGCTTTTTGTTGTGGTACATGTATAGCTTTTATACTGTTCTACACTGCTGACACAAAAGGAAAAAAAGGGTTAGAATGGACTGAACACGACTGATAGCTTTAGGGACGGAAACCATAAATCTTCATTTTTTGCACTGGCAACATTCCAGAATCAGAGCACTCTGCTACTCATGCAGCTCCCAAACCCACTCCAATTGGTACAAAAATGAGAAGGAACAGACCCTTCCTAGTAACCTTTCTTCCTTGCTAGGAGGAAAACAAGCACAAATTTATTAGCTAGAATTCTTTTGACTGCCGCAGGCTATGAAAGAGGATTACAATATATTAGTAGTATAAAATAGGAATTCTAGACATATCACATCATTTAAAATAGTTACTTATTTATCACATTCTGATAAACTTACAGCAGGAAATTTGGGTGCTCACATTATACAGCATCCTGCTCTCACACAATACTCTTTCAATTCAAGCCAGTAGTGAAAATAAATTTCCTTCTGTAAAGGACATCTCAGCTCAAACTCTCTTTCAGGTCTCCAACAAAAACTGCCTGGATATTCAACAAAAGAATGTGATTTTGGCATGGGTATTTGGGGCTTTTTATTCCAATAAATTAAAAACCTGACATACAATTCTATATTCTATATATATATATGCTACAGCAAACAGCCTCAGTAAAAGCACTCACCCTCCTCAAGAAAGGAAATACAAGGAATTTTTCAATAGTTGCAGTTAACCTTACTTGATAGATTAGGTCTCAAAACTCTCTGTACTTTTGCCATTTCCTTCTCAACACTTATTCACATACTTTATGGGCCACAAACCTCTAAAGACTCACAGCAAAACAGCCATTTGGGCTGTCTGTCCACCCATCAGTTCATTTCCAACTAGTTCCTAAATGGGTTTCTGCTGCTTGCCTAGAGATACAACTCAAACTATTCCTGCATTGTGTACACCTGGAGGGTTTGAATGGGCACTTATTTACTGTATTTTTGTGTGGTGAGATAACTCTTAACCCTACATTTTCTGTGCATCTAATGACATGTTGGCTCTCTACATAGTGACCTCACACAATACAATACAGACAACAGTTTGGTACTCAGTATCTTTACTTCAAATCACCTTTCCCTACATGAAAATTTTTTGTCAGCTAGAGTAGCTTCTGGCTCCATTACAGGTTATACAAATTTCCCAGTTCCTCCACAGTGACTTGTAGAGACAAAAATGCATAATCTGTACAAGGCCACTCCTGGTACCAGATGTCATCGTTGACAGAAGAGCACAGGGCATCAACTTCTGTCCCCTGGACTCCTTCCTTTAGCATTCCTGCTTCACTCCTGAGGATACAATCAGCTAGCCCATTCCAAGTAATACCACACACAATATCACTCCCAGCAAGATAATCTGCCTATTGGTGATGCTACTGTGAACCAACTTTGAGAAACTCTGATTATCTGTAGCTTCTGGGAAAATGAATTAAAAAAAAAGTCTGGAGACAACTTGTTTTTAGGGCAGCAGCTGCTAAGACAACATAGGAAACAAAGCCAATGAGACTCGATTTCATCAAAATCTCATACTTCCCAGCAGGTCTCAAGCTCTTAGGCTCTACTGGCCTGACATGACAGCTATGAATACTATGCTTGCAACTTTTCCAGGACAGCAAGAACAGATGCCTCTTCTTGAATGGAAAACATTCTGCCCTTCATGTAGACATTATCATTCAATGTCAATCAGCAGAATGGCATAATATCATTCTCTTTGTCAAGAGTCACTTGCTATCCTGCACTGATCTACTTGATGCCATCTGTTCCCCATGAACCACACTTCCTGTACTCATTAGCACAGTCACAATCAATGACTGCTACAAAGCAAACATCTTCAGAGGTCACCCTGCAAGATGGAGATCATCTCACAAAAATAACTACCTTGGATATGAACAAGGAGTTTTAAGGAGTCTGCTTCACAATATATGTACCTCCAATGTACAGCAATGAGATATCAGGAAGGTATCTCATACTAGTGGGCATTCCTATTCAGAGCTTTGGGAGACTGACCTATTTGAGATCAGCCTCTGCCTCTGTAGCTGATCATTAAGCCACCCTTACTCACTCCTTGAGCTGTGAGAAAAATCTAACAAACTACCTTACTTAGAGAACTAAGCCTTTGTCACGATGTTCAGAAAGAAGGGCAAAGTATGGTTGTTTTGTGGTTCTTCAGAGATCTGGTTAATATTTCCCCTGGGAAAAGCAGCCAACCCACCCAAGATGATTCTGAACTCAGTGTTCAGCCTTAGAGAATTAGTAATATAAGCTGACAGCAAGCAGGTTTTCTGGTGGACTCCACTTTTGGTAGGAAAACATGGAAATTCATGTGCTAACTAATGATGTCTCCTACAATTGTCATCTTTTCAGTTAGACTTACCCTCCAGGTGATTCCAGTGTGTGCCCAGTAAGTTGAGTTTAAGAAATTTGAATTCATTTTTCTTCAAGTCTCACTCTTCTTATGGAAATTCTTCCCTTCTACCCACTTGGGACCAACCTACTCTGTTTCCACAGCTATTTGTGTCATCATCCAGCAGCAACTAATGAGTCAAAGAGCAAATCTTTTCCAGGACATAGAGAGATGACTGCTATGCTGAATTTGTAACTGAAAACAGACCACTGAAAGTCAAGCTGCACCAAGAGCCTCATTACAGAGCTCCCTGTACACAGCATTAGCAAAGTCACTTTGAACTTCATTCCTAAATTTAGACAGCACTAAGTCATCACAGAGACATCCAGAAATTGTGCTGTATTAGACAGAGCAACCCTGTGTTGGCCTACAATGCATGACTCAACTAGGCAACCAGCAAATATATGTTTAGGGATTTTGTTTGGAATCATCCCCAGAACAGTGGTGGACTACTGTTAGAAGGAAGAAAAAGAAAACCAAATTACTACAGGAAATAAATTTCTCCTTTCCTCTTCCCTTTCTTCACAAAACTCTTTAGCTTTTGGGGGCTCTTTAGGTCTCTGAAGCCACACAGAATCAAGACACATATTATACTCACTCTCTTATTTGCACAGCAGACCTAAAGGTAAGGCTGGGTATACAAGTGTCTTGCAGATCTTAACAAGAGAAGATTCTCAGATCTTCAATTCCAGCAGTTTAAGCAATTGGTGTATGAAGAAAACACATTTCAAAAATGGCCAGTTAGTGATAAATAGCTTTCTTTAACATTGGTGTTCATTAGAATAAGATAGGAAAACAGACACAGATATTACCCTCAGAAATGCAATTTCATTCCTGTCATCACAGCAATTTTCAAGTTGCACCTACCAAAAGAAAAACTTTGCTGTCAGGCTTGACTTTGTGTTTCTCCATGTATTTTATGAGGCTACTATTGGCATATCTGAAAAATATGTTAAAGAAAAATATGTCTGAAATAATAGTGCATTAAAACCATGGAATTCTATCAAGTGACCACAGAAACATCTCCCAACCCTCAGGAAGTAAACTGTAAGAAGAACTGCTATCAGAAGACATGTCAGATATTCATCTAGCAGTTGCACACATAAAGTGTGCTTTTCACCAGCAAGAGTGCTATCAACTGTGTAAAGATTATCTCCATGAAACATGCAACTTTTATGCTATATGGATAAGCTGTTGATAAGGACAATGACAGAGACACAACTTAAAGCTGATACTATATTTTTCCAAAGCAACTCTGCCACAGAAAGCATTCAGCAGCTCATCACAGCTCAATATTTAAGCTATTGTTTCTGGTTAGTACTTGGCAGAGCAGTTAGATTACCATTCTGTCTCCCCAGCCTCCAGAAAACCACATAGTCCTTACAGCTCCCAAGCTCAAAACTGCCCTAAATACCTATGACATGTGCCTTGCCTTTAATTTACAGCTCCAGAGGTTATCTACAGCCATTTTCAAAAAAAAAGAAGCTTCATATTTTGTGTAAAGCCAGTGTAATGAATCCATGTCAGAGCTGGAAACAGAATCCAAAACTCCCAAATCTATATCCCCTCTACCTTACTTTAAGGAGTCCCTGTGACTCCTTACCAGCTCTAATCTATTATCACCAGTCGACTAACTTAGCCAAAGCACAAGGAAACAGTAAAAGTGGAAAATTCTCAGATCCTGGACAGGCTTTGAATCGCAATCTATTGAACATGTTACCTTCAATAGAAATTTCTGTCCAATACATTGCTGCCTCCACATATCCACTTGTCAAAAATACCAGTGCTTCCCTATTCTTCCTCACACAAAATGAACAACATTATCTTGAATATGTAATAGAAATGGGTTAAGGAAGCTCATTTGTCTGTGCCTGCCATAGATTAAATTACACTTATGGCAACCCCTTCTAGAGAAATGAGGAGGCCACTCAGTTCATGTTCTTAACAAGCAGCTGAGGGAGAGAACACCATTCATGTAAACCAGCTAATTCAAACAGGACAGCTGCCACAGTGTTAGAGGTTAGAGCCCAAATACTTCAAAATCCCCTCCCCAAGAAGTCAGAGCACCGGAGCTGATCTCTGCCTCCCCCACACTCAGTGAGCTGTTGTTACATGATCATTACTTACGTTGTTCTTCTAAAATCTTTCTGAAGAGTTGGATATTCTGGCATCTTTCTTATGTCTTCCCAGTCTTTATCTTCGGTAGTGTGGAAAAAAGAAAAATCATTTACAATTCTGAATGTGTTGGTTAAGTAATACTCAGGAAGAAATAACTACAGGAGTTGACTTCCTGTTTGTTGGCCAGTGCTACTGTTCTTTAATTGCCAGCATTTCCAAATCCATCAAACTGACAGTTTCTTCATACCTATACAAACAACTAGTAATTTCCTTTAGGAAAAAAAACCAACAAACAACTCACTAGCCTTATGTCTGCTGCTTTAATGAAAATAAATTACCTGCAGGGAATCCCATTACACTGAAAATGCGGTCTAGCTGATCGTGATGAAAAGGATTACTCGTTTTGATGTCCTCCTGGCGACAGTGAAATATAGGTTCTGAAGTCAACAGTTCAGCAAATATGCAGCCAATAGCCCAAATATCTACAAAAGAAGGAGGATAACTAATGAAAATTTGCTGTATTCAATTGCTCTGTTTTTTGTTTCTGCATGATTTCTCAACCTGTATAACCACATTAAGACAAAATGCTTCACATTTAAAAACAATGCATTAACATAATACATTTAAAAGGGTAAAATCTGGAGATATGCTTTCTATAAACCAAAATTAAACTCTCAAAATCCAATTCGCACCCTGGCAGCCCAGCACTTAAAATATTCACAGTTATGTCAGAAACCTACACAATATTTGCTTACAACATAGCTTAAAGGGCATTCAGCTGATCAAAGATACATTGCAATAATACTGCTACCACATATTTCAGAACAATTCCAGACAGGTTATTGAGAACCAAATAAATACTAAGGAGAAGACTAATGGCTCATATATTTAACCAAATGGTGCAAGCCAGTTAAAATGAGGGAAAAAAGATCCTAATTTTAATCGAGTGTAGAAGAGTGAGTACAAAACTTTGAAAAAATTAAAATCCTACTGGACAACTGAGTCCCACAACAACAATACTTTAACTGTATCATCTACATCTCATGTACATAAAGAAAACAACAGCAGGATATTTGACAGTTGGACTTGATTATCTTAGAGATCTTTTCTACCTTAATGATTCTATATACTGAAAGAAAAAAACCCAAAACTTCTATTTCATAAAACTCTCATTAATATACTTTTTTAGATTAAATCTATTGTGGACCAAAACATTAATTTACGAGAGAACAGTTTTTCAGATTACATGCATGCATTCTAGTTACTGCTCATTACCATCCATCCTAGTGTTCTGTATGACCCAAATATGGATTTACTATGCATCTTAAAATGAAAGTGTGAATTTGCCAGTGAGAAGAAGCTTTTTTGTCAAAATAACAAACCAAAACAAACAAGCAAACAAAACAAAACAAAAAAAAAAAAAGAAAAAAAGAAAAAAGGATTTAAGGATTTGCAACACTGATAAATATGTGTTGGGATACTGGGGGATACAACTTTGGAAAAGGTGTTGAGAACAGATTAATAATAAGCATAGTTTGCTGAATACAAGAGTGTGGAGACTTATGTAGTAAGTGAAGTTAAATTAGATGACCCTAGGAAAACTTTTTTTATTTTTTATAATTTAACAGAACAAATGCAAAAAGCAATTTAATTTTAATTTATAAGTCTAAGAGATACAAAAATCTTTAAACAGAGTTTAGTTTACTGGATTCGGACTAAAGAAAACACCAAGAAAAGCCTCTTGGTTGTTGCAATTAATCTGAGACTCCAAACCCCACTTGCTGTCAATGGTGGTGTTTGGCCCATGGTGCCTATGAGACACAGGGTGTCCTTAAGAAACAACTGCTCTCCTTATGTAGGAAATAAAGAAATGAGCCATCACACTCCATTTGCCAAAATTGGTCAGCTCCATTTCCATCCTGTTACAGGTGTGGAGCTTGAGGTCTCCCAATATATAACCCTTTCTTGCAAGCTCCCTTACAGGAAAATCTGATAACATTTCATTTAGGCTTTACAGTTTTGACAGGGTGTAACTTGCTCTGTGCATTACATCACATTCTCAAGGTTTTATCTTCCTTTGATTTCCCTATTAGCCTTATCTGCATGAAAACAAGATCTTTAGCTGTTGAGATTTTATCTACTCAGGCAACTAATGCAGCATATTAATCACAATTGCTGCCTGGGTAGTAGGCATAAATTATCTACTCCAGAATGGAAATTACTTATTAATTGAAGAATGAAATCTTCATTTAACAGTATCTCTTCACTCATTTTCATATGATAGCAAATCCTTTTGGAGATGGCTTATCTAGAGGCCAAAAGAATTACAGCTCTCTTAGTTTTCATGGCTTTCTACAGTGCTCACTGTCCATCACACTCTGAGGGAGAGGCTGGGCCACTGCTCATTATGACATTATTAACTGCTCTATCCAGACTGACCTTTTCCTTTTAATGAAAAAAAAGGTAAAATCTAGTAATCTAGTATTCTCCCTGACAGCAAAACTGAACAGGGAAATCTTCCTGAAGTGACACAGCAAACTTCAAAACTGTTTTTCCTTCATCACCTGCAGTGTGTGAGAGAAGAGCCACTATAGAGTGTACAGAGAGTGCATTTTAAACCCTCTGAGAATTCAGAAAGACAAACATTGTACCAACTGAATGTTACATCTGTATAAACACTGGAAACTCCCAAGATGGTGTTATAGTTTTCTGTGGGATGGCATTATTGGGCAAGTCAAACATGAGACTACTTTAACTTTGATCACTTGTTATATTCTCTAGCAGTTCATATGCTGGGGTTCAACCCTTTATGTTTCCTGCCAGATATTCTTAATCTCTGAAGAACTAATATAAAGTAACCCAAAAGACTTGGTACAGAAAACCTAAAGCTTTAATTTATGCAAGAAAACATTAAATATATGAAAAAGGTCTTGCAACCATGTAGCTCAAGCAGGTCAGGGTCTTCTCTTCATGAACTTTTATGAAACCTGGTCTGGAACACATCCTTGGCATATATTGATACCATTCATAGTTAATGATTTTCTGCCAAGATTAGCCAGTCCTTTTGTTTGTTTCTTCTGAAAAACATTCATAATTTGTAATAATAATGTACCACATGTAGCACTTTTTCTAGCAGGAATGCTTCATCAATTCTGCTAAGTTTAAACACTTCACAGATACAAGCAATCTTAACAGGTATTTGCCTCCTACACTGTTCACAGTAGTCAACCAAATACAAATTTTAGGTCTAACTATGGGAAAAAAGTCCTTGTTTAGGTCTTTTAATCATTTAAGGTTTTCCATTTATTAAGGTTTTCCTTAAAAATTAATGATTATTAGATCTATTTCAAATATATTCCAAGTAACATCTACTACTCCTCAGTAGTGGGCACTGACAGAGCAAACCTTAAAACACACAAGTAATATTTTTCAAGTACAGTGTATTATTTATTCTAATGCACATCATCTGCCTCTAGCACTAAAGTGAAAATTTCCTTATAAAGAAAACTTTTTTTTTTAAACGAAGCACCAAAATAAGTGGCAAAAAATTATCCAACAATGAATTCTCTCCTCTCCCCTCTACTAATGATCAAGACAGTGAGTGGCCTCACTGCTCCTGAGGCAAAGCTGAAACTACTGAAGGTATCCATTTGTTATGTCCCAAACCCATTGAAAACTGGGACACAAAAGTCCTACAGAGTTGACTGGGTACTAAATGTTTTCCCATCTTGGGAAATGGAAAATGTTTTCCCATCCTGATGTCTTGGGGGGATGTTAATAAGTTTACCAGAGTAACACAAGCATTCCTGTAAAGACGGTTCTGTTTCCTACAGTCTCTTCCACTGTCATTAGGCTTCAGGACTGATCCATGGTAGCAGGTTTTTACTGTCTGTTGGGCTGTGCTGTTTTGCTGATGTTCTCCTCCACTCCCAAGACTTACAAAGTCCTCACTTTCTTCAGGTTTACACGGGATCCCAGTGCAAGCCAATTTTGCTCCCTGGCTCTGGAAAGAGGGGTAGGAGTGACTCTTAACCACACAACTTCCTCAGGTTCCACTCAAACCTGTTCTCCACTGAAATATCCTACCACTATGACAATACTTCTAACGTACTATATAATTTTATGAAAAGAAATAAATCCCAGCCTTTTATGAATGGACACTTGTGATTGGTAAACAGACTTCCTATATAAATGCCTGTGTGCATAGATTTATAAAAATATTTGTATGGCTGTCTATGTCCCACTTTTAAATCTGGGACTCTGATAGCTTTATAGGTCAGCTGAGAAAATCCTGCATGTCCTGCTCTACTTTAGCACTGTAGCCAAGAAGCAAGAACAAAGGGATGCTGTTTCAATGATAGGGCTGATTAAGCAGACAAATGCTCATGTATTCTTTAATTTCTATCGAACAATAATCTCATTTCTGTATTTGTTCCAGTATCTTGGAAACATTCTTTAAGAATAGGATGACCACTTAAGACAATAAGACAATTTATTAAGCAATAGCCTTGACTCATAAAAGGAAACATCTTTTCCCATGCATATTAAGCAAAACTACAGTGAACATAGGACAGAATCCAAGACTAAATACATCATAGTTCTTAACTATATTCAAGAAAAGAAATAAATAAATGGTCTCAGTCTCATAGAATTCTTTAATAAAATTCTCTTAAAAAAAGGCAAGTAAAGACTTGGAAAACATCTATTTAGGTGCAATCAATCTGAGGAATTCATCATTAGTGAGGTTCAGCATAATAGCAACAGTACTCAACCAAAGTGCTTTTTTCCTGTTGTTGTTTTGTACATTTGAACACAAAGTCTACACCCTTGGACACATGTGAATGCTAGCAAAGGCAGTGAAGAGCAGAAGGACAGACAGCAGAATACAGCTTCCCTGCACCTGCCAAGGGCTAATGCAACAAATGAGGCTACCCAAGAGCTAGTTAGCAAGACCTTAGCCCAAACAGGGCTTTTCGGGACATCTGTAAGAGCTACAGCATTTATTTAAGATCCTCTAAAACTTTCCAGTCAAGGCAAGGACATCAAACACACCAAAGGACTGGAAACTTAAAATGGGGCTGTGCAGGCAAACGTGTCTAAGTTTTTCAAATAGCCATCAGTTGGTCTAGTGAAAAGATAAAACTCCTAATTAAAAAAAAAAAAAATCTATCTCATGCTGAGCACAACAGCACATTCTAGACTTACATGGAGTCTTTATACACAAGAGTCTAGGAGCACAGAGATAGTACAGAAAAATAGTTTATCAATTTTTATGCTGGTTTTAGTATTAGAAATTAGATTTAAGGAAATAATACACCCTTAAACAGGGATTTCTTTGGTCTGGTAAGGTGTACAGAACATGCCTGTTACATATGTTCTGTTAGCATACATATACACAAGGGAAAGACCATCCCATTCATACATTAAGGTCCCAATTTGGATGTGCTTCATTTAAACTTTATTCAGCGAAACAGAAGGTTGA